TGCCTGTGCATAGAGATCAATGTAATACATCTAGCTCGGAGAACGGATTGTTTTTCTCGAAAATAACGCTTTTTGATTCTTGTAGTTTATAGTCGTATATATATTCTTGTAATACGTAGTCTGTGCTATCAGGACATGAAAGAGGCGCCATTTGTGTTTCAACAACGAGAGTTATTGATCCCGGAAGTCCGAATCTGTGAATATCTTTCTAACTTTACTGAAGTAAGGTTTTGCGAGGGAACGCAAAAGAAAAAAAAAATTCCCCATGTCCCCTAGGGGGCTCCGTAATAGTCAACATTTCTACTTAAATAAGGTAACAAAGTATTTGTGCTTTGTTATTTGACACCTCTGAGTATATTATATTCTCAGATTAGAGTTTATATTTTTGTTGGTTTTACAGTTTTAATATGGTTTCATCTTACATTTTATGATTTCATTCAAACTTTTAAGACTTTTAATCAAAATACTCCTATATTGCATTTAAGAAAGGTTGAAAGGCTGCACTCCTTCCCACGCAGCCGTGCGATGGCTGTGACTTCATATTCACTGTAATTATTTTGCTGTAGTTTAGTGTACAGATATTCAAGGGACTGTTATTCAGAATACTACAAACCCAATAAATCGAGTTTTGAATATCGTTCACGTGTCTCTCACTTTATATCAAATCTGTTTTTCACTTTTAATAATCTTTTTGTGATAGTTATGTACCAACTTGTTTTTATAAACAATATGAAAATGGCTTTCACAATGGATTTATTCTTTCATTGCTTCATTGGATATCATGCAAACACTCTTAACTTGAAATTTTATCCCTTCCTGTTTAATTCTATAGCAGCACATTTGTAATTTCTACTTAAATATTAATCTGTTTCAGGGATAAATTATAATAAATATGCCAAAAGCTCCAATGTAACTGAACTAAATTGCATATTAATATCTGAGGACTTTGTATTTGTCTCTGTTCCCATTTATTTGTTTTTATCCCCATTTGGACCCGTTGTGTAGCAGATTGTGATCCCTCATCGATCCAGAGTATCTGTGAGTGACCTCCTGCTGGTAGATATCGTTTATTTAATGAGTAAAAACACATTTAATCACTGAAGACTATAAGTGAAATATGGGGAAAAAATATCCTCGTTTTCCAAAATGGGCACAAACAAAATGAATCTTAATTAGTACTAAATGTCCTACAGCAGAGGGCGCTGTTTCACACCTGAAAAGGTTTGTATAAAAGCAAAACTGCAAAAATACAAAAAAAAGCAAAGGGATGAAGTGGCCAGTGGTAAAAATCTGTAAATTAAAGTGGTACATTAATTCGCAGAATGTGATATTTATGAGTTTAACGTTAAATTCTTGTTCCAAAAAAAAAAGAAAATAAAAAACAATCCACTGGACTTTGTTTGCAAGTTTGAAGACGTTTCTCTTCCCATCCAGGAAGTTTTTTCAAATCAAAATGTCAGAAATAGCAGGAATGTTGACCTGGCTGAAAAGATGAGGTCCTCCACTCTCCTGTACAGCGGATGGGGCTTCGATGATGGCCTAGCAGGCCAACAATTCCCTCTAACGACCCCCCTTTCAGAGACATAGACAGGTATGGGGCATTGCAGGCCAACTATTCCCTCTAACGACCCCCCTTTCAGAGACATAGACAGGTATGGGGCATTGCAGGCTAACAAAGAAGCCAAACGACCCCCATTCCAAAGGGGGGGACCCGTTTATCTGTTTCTATTTGCATGTTTTCTAAACTAAAACCAGGCTTTGTTTTTTTGGTCCACTTTATAAAACCTGGAACTCAACGATATTTCTAACATTTTGAATTGAAAAATCTTCCTTTCCCACAGATTTTTTTTATTCACAGTAAGGAAAACAAAAACTTTCACCCTAATTTTATTCCTATTAAAAATGTCTTCTGATAGGGTATGAATTTCACGAAACGTATATTATTAATTTCTTTCATTTATTTTTTATTTAGTCTTAGAATATATTATTTTGTTATCAAAAATCTAATCCTAATTTTATTGTTTTTATCTATTGTTTGATGCAGTGCTGAAATGTGTTGTTTATTCTTTACTTAAATAAAAACTAATAAAATAAAATAAGAAAAAGGACTACTCCCGAAAAAAAAAAAAACCGGAAATGTGTCATCCTAGCGTACAAAAAAGCGGAAGTGACGCCATCAAGACGCTTTTGTCGGGCTTCCTAAAAACATTGAACGAGCAGTGATGATATTTGATCTAAAGTAGCTGTTTTAAAAGCCAAACAGGCAGCTTAACAACCATGTAATGATATTTATTGACAGGAATCGTGTTATTGGTGTGTTTTAGCACATTAGCCGCTGGAAAAGCGAGCTGTTAGCAGTGAAAATGAGCGATGTTGTGGAGAAAACGCTGACAGCTCTGCCAAGTCTGCTCTCCTTAGACTCCCAGCCCGGCTCTGCTCGGCTGTCCACCAACTCTAAACTAGGAAACCTGATCAGAGGAATCACTGAACTCACATCTAAACATGTAAGTCGCTCATCTAAACATCATACAAGCTGTGACTTAGCTGTTGCTACGTTAGCTTGCTAAACTGCTCAGTCTTTCATGAAGGATGTTTTTCTCCTGGAATCATTCCCTACATTATAATGGTGTCATTTAAAAGGTCTGATGTCGCAGTTTAGTAGTTTATTTATTTATTATTATTTTTTTTTTTTTTTTGTCGACAAATTAGGACTTTTGAAAGATTTTTCCTCTACGGTGCGTTCAAGTGCTTTCGTTTGAGTCAGAATCTGATGGTTAACAGCATCAGCTGGTTTTTAAATGACACCTGAGCTGATTTTATTAGCTTATAAACTTTGTGAAAGCAAAGTAGTTTAATTAAAACCTGCTTTTATAATAAAATACAGAATTCAGTACAGGTTTGATCCATTTTTTCCATCACACTTTATCCCTGCTGGGGTCTCCAGCTGTCTACAGGTGAGGGGCAGGGTCCACCCTGGACAGGTCTCCAGACAAACAACCATTCACACTCACACCTAAGGGGACTTTATAGAAGCCAATTAACCTAACAGTCATGTTTTTGGACTGTGGGAGGAAGCCGGAGTACCCAGAGAGAACCCACGCATGCTCAGGGAGAACATGCAGACTGCCAAAGGATGCTGGGCTGGGAATCAAACCTGGAACTTTCTTGCTGCAAGGCAGCAGGGCTACTAACTGTTCCACTGAGCAGCCCTGAATCTGAACGACTTTGAACTTAAAGGTTTCCAGCATGGCGAGCACTGTAGACTTAGAATTTTATTCAAAAAAAAAAAAAAATTATCCACAGTTTGAAGATGTTTCGCTTCCCATCCACCCCATTTTGTTTGTTTTTGCATAGGGATGCACAATATAATCGGCCCCTATCGGTATCGGCCTTAAAACTGAATATCGGACATCGGCCACCCCACCGATATTTAACCCGATATTTGATCAGCTTCTGAGTTTCTAAAG